TATTTTCAAAATATACAATCAAACAAATCAAAAAAATTTCTAGGTTGTGTTTTGTGACAACCCTTACAACTGTCGACTGATAAACCACTGATTACTGTTAAACTGCCACTGATTACTGTTAAACTGAGACTGATTATGATAATTGACTGAAATCCTGAACTGATTGATTACCTGTATCTGTTTAAGTGCATATCTATCTGTTGACTATGAAATTATCTGTTCATGTTTTATGCTTTAAACTACAAATTGGAGGCCTTATCGGCGGCCGAATCTGAAATTGATTAGTGATATGTGTTAATCATAATTTATGTGATTTTATGATATGTTTAACTGAAATGTGATTTGGTTTGATTAAATTAGATTAAATATTGATAAATTGCAGTGCATATCTATCTGTTGACTATGAAATTATCTGTTCATGTTTTATGCTTTAAACTACAAATTGGAGGCCTTATCGGCGGCCGAATCTGAAATTGATTAGTGATATGTGTTAATCATAATTTATGTGATTTTATGATATGTTTAACTAAAATGTGATTTGGTTTGATTAAATTAGATTAAATATTGATAAATTACACTAATTGGCTTAATTCACAACTTTGCCACTTAGTGGCCCATTACTTGGAACATTTTTTAGCTCTCCTCATTAGACACAACACATTTCATCAACCTTCTCCTTGCTATAGCCGACTAGAGAGAGAGAGAGAGAGAGTGAGAGAAATATAGTGATTTCATCAAATTTAGCTTGGTGACTTGAAGAAATTGAAGGTTGATTGCATAATTGAGCTTCCCTTCTCATAATTGAAGACTTAAGGTAGAGCCTTTACCTTCTTGATTGTGTATTTAAGATAGTTCTTGCATGGCTCATGCTACATTCATGTTATATTGAAGGGTTAAGTCTAGAATTGGTTCCATATGTTGAATTGTAGCATAAATCATGCATGCATGTTGCCATTCTTGAGTTTGAAGTTATTGTTCATGAAATTCCTCATGCATGTCAATATTTTTGCATTGGATCATGAGCTCATCTTGTTTTGGAAGAATTAGCTCATTAGAGCATGTGATTGAAGCTTTGAATTGGTTTAAACTCATGCATGTCATGTTTGAGTTATGTTTATGAAAAATTGGTTTGAAATTGAATTTAACTGAACTACCTTTGGGCTTTGATTTCTCAAATTGATCTTTGAAACATGTTATATTATGAGTTTTGAAGTGTTTTCCAGAAAATTAGCCCAAAATGATCGAATTTGGTACATTGAAACTTGTTTTTGAGCTTGAGGTTCAAATCTGAAAATTCCAAATTTTGGACTCACGCTCGAGCAGAGTGACTGGTGCTCGAGCGTGAAATTCGTGCATCCAGCACTTTACATTATTTTAAAGTCCACTCGAGCGGGGTATTGGACGCTCGAGCGAGGACTTGTGTCACACGCTCGAGCGGGTATCGAGCGCCCAATCGAGCGTGATTTTCACAAAGCTAGTACTTTTAGCATGTTTTACAGTCCGCTCGAGCAGGGTAACTCGCGCTCGAGCGGAGTATTTTTCATGTTGTAATGTTCAGAAAATATTTAACATTGAACATAACTCTACAAAGTTATTACTCACAGTGTTCTGGTGCTTGATTCGTCCATGTGCTTGACCCTACATAATTCATAACACTTTGGGTCATATTACAATTCATTTTGTTCTTTAACCTGTTTAACATTCTTAGGCTCCATTCATGTTCTTTAATTCATTTACAATCTTTAATGCATGCCTAAGAGTGCTTTGAAATGAAAGCAAACGGAAAACGAAGCATAAAACATCTTTCCAAAATTTCTGAAATAGGGCCCTCCGCTCGAGCATAGCTACGACCGCTCGAGTGGACCCCTTTGGTCTGCAAAAGTACTGGTTGCTTGCAAATTACACTCGAGCGAGACTTTTGACGCTCGAGTGAGGAGTCAAGTAAAATAGGGTACGCTCGAGCGGGACTCTCCACGCTCGAGTGGACAGGTCAAATTCTGGATTTTTCCAGATTATGCTTGAGCTTCAAAACTTGGTTCGAGAGGAATAGAGTGATTTCAACAAATTTAGCTTGGTGACTTGAAGAAATTGAAGGTTGATTGCATAATTGAGCTTCCCTTCTCATAATTGAAGACTTAAGGTAGAGCCTTTACCTTCTTGATTGTGTATTTAAGATAGTTCTTGCATGGCTCATGCTACATTCATGTTATATTGAAGGGTTAAGTCTAGAATTGGTTCCATATGTTGAATTGTAGCATAAATCATGCATGCATGTTGCCATTCTTGAGTTTGAAGTTATTGTTCATGAAATTCCTCATGCATGTCAATATTTTTGCATTGGATCATGAGCTCATCTTGTTTTGGAAGAATTAGCTCATTAGAGCATGTGATTGAAGCTTTGAATTGGTTTAAACTCATGCATGTCATGTTTGAGTTATGTTCATGAAAAATTGGTTTGAAATTGAATTTAACTGAATTACCTTTGGGCTTTGATTTCTCAAATTGATCTTTGAAACATGTTATATTATGAGTTTTGAAGTGTTTTCCAGAAAATTAGCCCAAAATGATCGAATTTGGTACATTGAAACTTGTTTTTGAGCTTGAGGTTCAAATCTGAAAATTCCAAATTTTGGACTCACGCTCGAGCAGAGTGACTGGTGCTCGAGCGTGAAATTCGTGCATCCAGCACTTTACACTGTTTTACAGTCCGCTCGAGCAGGGTATTGGACGCTCGAGCGAGGACTTGTGTCACACACTCGAGCGGGTATCGAGTGCCCAATCGAGCGTGATTTTCACACATCCAGTACTTTTAGCATGTTTTACAGTCCGCTGGAGTAGGGTAACTCGTGCTCGAGCGGAGTATTGTGTTTGCCTGTACGCTCGAGTGGGTAAAACCACGCTCGAGCGAGACCTCTGTTTTTTGAAAATTCTGAAAATGTTTTTAAAGTGCATCTTTGCATCCTCATTCCATTCTAGGCATTCTTAGGCCTAGTTTAAGGCATCTTAATGAGGATATTGATGTAGGACCACATCGAGTCGAGTTAGGGATTAAGTTATTATTTTTCCAACTGTGTAGCTTAGTGTGTGTTCACTCTGTACCTGTGTAGGGTTGGCATTCGGAGACGCGCTCTAGCTTATCTGTAGCCTAGAACTCTGTGAGTAACAATGTTGTAAAGATATGTTCGAAAATGAATATTTTCTGAATGATCAACTGAACTGTTTTCCGAACTGATTACTGTTAACTAAATGAATGTTTGTCCTCTATTCTGAACTGTATTGTGGCATCCTTAGCAACTACTGTTACTGTTACTGTTACTGTTACTGTTACAGAGATCTCTGTCAGTTTCTATTTTGGAACTTCTGTTTACTGTTATGATGGCCATCATTGACTGCTCGGTCTTTCAAGACCTACTGTTTACTGTACTGTTCTACTATTGGATGTACCACATATGACTGTTATGACTGAATGACTGATATACTGATTCAATGAACTGTTTTCGTTACTGTAAGGACATTCATTCCTAACCTCTTTACACATTATGTTATTTACTGGGCTTTAGCTCACTGCTCATATATATATGTAGGTGTACAGGCACCGGACCGTTGCTAGGAGCGTTGGGGTAAATTCCAGTTTTGTCAAGCCAACCTTTGTGCCTCACTTTGAGATTCCAGAACTGTTCAAGCCGAGGCTGTCTGGGGCCTTTTATTTTCCCCCTTCTTGGTTATGTTCTGTATAGACTGAATGTTTTTGTACTGTGTTGTTTTAAATAGGGATTAAGTCCTTGTCCTGGATGGTTGTATATATTGTACATACTGTTTTGGTACTGCTTGTATATGTGTAAATGATATGAAAAGCCTTTTTGTATACAGACTGTCACAGCTCATTGGACATATTTTAATTACTGTATTGGCTTCCGCCAGCCCCTATACTCTGTATTACTGTATTACTGTTAAGCAGGCCTTCGGTAATCTCGGGTTACTGGCCAGTTACGGTACTAAACCCATATGGGCGGATTTGGGTTGTGACATGTTTGGTGTGGACTCTATACCCATATTTGAGTATGGTATTTGGTTACAATTTTCAAAAATTTCTACACCACTTTTGAAAACTTGTTTAAGGCGGAATTTAAATTTTGAAATTTGGCTTATCTAGTCGTCCTCCAGGACGTTTTGTCGGTTGACCGGAACAGTGTAATTTTTTTTTAGGGCAATTGGCACATGTTATTTATTATATATTAAATAATTTTTTTTTATGAACTTTGAATAGAATTTTAGGTTATGTGTTTGATTATGAGTCGTAAGTTTATGAACCAAATATCATATGTCATATCAATTATTCCAAATTCAATTCAAACCTCTTTTCAAAACTCATAACCAAACAAATGTTTCACACTCAAATTATAATTTCAAAACTTACAAACTCAAAATACAATTATATTTTCAAATTATAATTCTAAAACTCTACCAAACACAACCCTAAACTCTCTCCCCAAATTTTTTTTAAAAATTTATTTCAAACACAAACCAAACACACCCATAATTATTTAGAGGATCCCGAACACCTCCTTAATCATTGTCCTAGTTTTATTATAGAATAAATTACAAATACACTTCCTGAGATTTATTTAAATTATAAATTATTCCTTGTGGTACTAGAAATTACATTATGTCTCTTAAGATTTTTTATTTCATAACAAATAGGCATTTTTATTAATAAATCATAAAGTTAATTAATAGTTTTTAATAATGTTAGGATTTTATTTCAATTAATAATTTAAATAATTTTATTATTATATAGATGAATAGTTAAAAATTTTACTTTTTAATTAATTTTATTAAATAAAAAATTTTGACAAAAAAATATTTATAATTTTTTAAACTATAAAAAATAATTTATATTTTAAGTAAATCTTATTGGGTTTGGGTGTATTTGTAATTTATCTTTTATTGTATTTTGTCGGCAGCAGGAAATTCCCTTGATTTTCGAGGAGGCATTAAAGTAGAAAAAACAACGCAGACAAACAAACAAACAGAAAAACAAAAAACAAGGGAAGAGGAGAGAGACGGGAGGGAAGGGATTAGGGCCATGGCGGATATATTTGCATGGCTCCTATCCTTCTTCCTTCTTATTGCTGTCCTCGGCATCCTTCTTTACCAGGTATCACCCCCTTTTCAACCGTCATTTTTGCACATAAACATGATTTCATGTATTTATGTATCTGTATTTGTATATACTTTTTGTTCAAATCATTAGCTTCTGAAGGTGAATTTTACTATTTTTTTTGGGTTTTTCTTTTCTGGGTTAAATTTTGTCTGACAATTGGGTTTTTTCTTACTTCTTTTACACACATGGAAAAAGGGTACTTATTTAAGCTTAAACATTGAGAAAAAATGGGTACTTATTTAAACTTTTTGGGTCCCTTTTACCTGGTTGTTGAGGAAAAAATGAGAACTTTATAATCCCTTCCTCCCATTGTGTTTTATGTTATATGTAGAGATTTTGTGGAGAAAGTAATTTTGTTGTACAATCTTTGGAGTCTGTTGTGTGTTCAGTTGTATTAATTCAATATGGGGTTGTCACTTTCAGTCGGTTGATTCTTTTACTTATTTATATTCTTCTTTGTTTTAAATGATTTGAATGTTTTCATCTATACAGGGCAAGCCAAGATTTGGTTTTATGGGGAAGTTTTTTTTATTACTCCATGGTTTTTTGTTTATATATTTTGATCATATAGAGTGATGCTCTTTTAGCCATGACACCTCTTGAAGTTTTCCCTTTTTTTGGGGAAGTTTGGATTCCAGAAATATCCTGGATTACCTCTTTGGATTAAGTTTCTTTCCGAATATTGGGATGCATGTGCAGTATTTTTTATTATTTTTTGGTTAGGTTTTTTAACTCCTTGTCGTCGAGAAAAGATCAAAATAAGCCCAAACCCTAACGTGTTTTGGAACTTTATGTGACATTGAAAAGACACTCATCACTCTGGATTAAAGTTATTGTTTGAAGAAATTGGTATTGTTATGGACCTTGTGCTTTGCCTTTAAATGGACATTCGCTCCTTGAATGCTTTGACTTTTACTTCAAGCTTTGGCCTTTCCTTTTTCACTTTATTTCTTTATCTTCCATTGAAACATTTCCATTGAGCCTCTTAACTAGGATGTGCATGGTGGGATCTTAGATTAGAACTTAAAAGGTGTTGCCGAAAGAAGGCTTAGCAAGTGCATAGGCTTTTTTTTTTTTGCTTTTCAAGATCGCCTGTCATTGCCAATTAAATATTTAAAACAAGTAAATTTGTTGTTATTGGAAAGTTTATTGTTATAAATTTTTTGGGTAACATTAAGTAAGAGTAGTCTGAATGAAATGTAAATAAGATAAGTTAGAAAAACTAATGGTCAATTAGAGTGGGGATTTCCTTTTCTGCTTTCAGATGGCACTGACATACTTCTTTTTTTCGCTATCTTTCTTTAGATGAAATTTCAATTAAAGGAATTTCATGTTTGAAATCTTCATTGCAGCTCATGTGCTTGGCTGACCTTGAGTTTGATTATATCAATCCATATGATTCGGCATCTCGGATAAACAAGGCTGTTTGGCCAGAGTTTATTACTCAAGGATCCCTGTGCTTCTTACATCTTATAACTGGGCATTGGTTTATGTTTTTGGTCTGCCTCCCATACTCATACTACAACTTTAGATTGTAAGTCTCTCTCTCTCTCTCTCTCAAAAAGTGTGTTTCTTTCTCACCTCATTCAAAATACTAGTTTATAACTTCATTAGCATTCCTTAAACTAGGAACTTTGAGATAATACAAAGACTTATAATTAATGATGATAAAGTGATTAATATCTTCACTTTTCCTCTGATGCATATCATAGCTTCATTTTTTCGTTGTTAAGCTTGTGGTTAATATGTCTATGTTGGAACCATAGTTTTAAATCGTGGTATCTGCAGGCATAGCATAACGGTCACGGTCATGCGTAACATGTATTGAAAGAATAGAGAAAAGGATTCATGTAGTTAACCCTAATTGATTAGAACAAAGGCTTGGTTTGGTTTACTAGCAAATGCTGAGAGAGGGGTACTGACAATTTTTCCTTTTCTTTCGCGTGTTTTGAACTTATTCATTTCATTTTGAATGTTTGTAATGGTCTTTTTGTAAAGTAATGTTGAATTTTATCTTGCTCTTAAGACCCAAAAAAAAAAAAAAATGGAGAATTTAACTATCTAGGAATATCAGAGGTTCTACTAGAATAGTAAATCATAACCTAAGAAGTACGAGCACGGGTACGGACACGAATACGTGACACGACACGGACACGTGGACACATAAATTCTTAAAAAATGTAGGACACAACACGCTGGGGATATGTTCAAAACATATATTTTTATATTTTTATCATATGTATATTTTAAAATATTTAATATGTATTTTATGTCAAATATTTTATTTTATCAAATTTATCAACCTTAGGTATTTTAGTAAAAAAATTAAAATTTTAAATTTTTTTGAAAAAAATAGTACTCAGTGCAGTGTTTTTAAAGGCTCAAGGCGCACTAAGACGCTGAAGGTCTCTCGGGGCCTAGGCGCAAGGTGCAAGGCGAGGCGCGGACTTTATTGAAGTAAGGCGCACAGTCTTAGAAAAAAATAGAAAAATTAACATAGACTAATCATTCATAGTACTAAGACAATTTTTTTAAAAATAAAAAGTAATCAAGATTCAAGACAAAATATAGAATAATTCTCAAAGTCATGAAAGTGCATATTATATAACATTCAGTATAATGTAAGTGTGATTAATTGTGTAATACAATAGAAAATAATGTGTAATGGAAAATTACACATTAGCACAGTGTATTAATTAATGGAAAACAATGTAATGTAATGTGTCAATTTAAAAAATAATTAATGTAATGTGTCAATTTAGAAAAAATGTAATGTAAAAAAAACAAAACAATTAAGTCTTATTTTGTATTAATGTAATGTATTAATTAAGTGTATTAAATTATTAATGTAATGTAATGTAATGTAATTATTTAAGTCTTATTTTTGAATATAACACAATTAATGTAATGTATTAATTAATTATTTGAAAAAAAAATTTAGTGTATTTTTTTAGTTAATCAATCAATAAGATAAGTCTTATTTTGTATTTCTATTTTTTTTGTAACAGAGACTCAAAGGCATAAATTATAATTGAAAGAAAAAAAAAAAAGAAAAAAAAACAAAACATATAAGTCTTATTTTGTATTAATGTAATGTATTAATTAAGTGTATTAAATTATTAATGTAATGTAATTTAATGTAATTATTTAAGTCTTATTTTTGAATGTAACATAATTAATGTAATGCATTAATTAATTATTTGAAAAAAAAAATTTAGTGTATTTTTTTAGTTAATCAATCAATAAGATAAGTCTTATTTTGTATTTCTATTTTTTTTTTTTTTGGTTTGTAACAGAGACTCAAAGGCATAAATTATAATTAAAAGAAAAAAAAAAACAAACCAGTTCAGACGCACAACCAGAAAATGTCGAAGAGAAGAAGAAGAAGAAGAAGAAGAAGAAGAAGAAGAAGAAGAAGAAGAAGTAGTAGAAGGAGGGGGGAAGAGAGAGAGAGAGAGAGAGAGAAAGAGAGAGAGAGAGAGAGGGTGAGACGATCGAAGTCGAAGAAGCCAGAAAAACAAAAAAAAAAACAAATAGAGGCACAGATTAAGGCAGACGAAGAAGAAGGGGGGAGAGAGAGAGAGAGAGAGTCGAAGTCGAAGTCGAAGAAGTCGGAAAAAAAAAAAAAACAGACGACACAGAAGAAGAAGGAGAAGTTGAAGAAGAAGAAGAAGGAGAAGTCGTACCGCACCTGGAATGTCAAAGTCGAAGTTGTAGCCCAGTCCAAGTCGAAGTCGAAGTCGAAGTCAAATCGAAGTCGAGTCGAAGTCGAGAGAGGAAGAGCCGACACAGATTAGGGATTTTGTTTCAGTCGTATTGGGTTGTATTATATAGAAGTTGTAATCCTCTGTGGTTAGAGCTATTCGAACACACACCACAGCCGTTAGATCAGAATTAGGGCGTAAACCATCAATCGTGCCTAGGTGTGAGCCTTGCGCCTCTCTCGCTTGCTTCAAGTCACGCATAAGGCACGTGACTTCTTCAAAGCGCCTCGCCTGGGACCAGTTCAGGCGCACAGCCTGCGCCTTGATGCGCCTTGCGCCCAGGCGCGCTTTTCACAACACTGACTCAGTGTGTCCTTAGCATGTCCTCAGCGTGTTCCTAGAGTGTCCTCAATGTGTCCTTCGCGTGTCCTCAGTGTGTCCTTCTCGTGTTCTCAGTGTGTCCCAACGTGTCCACAGCATATCCAACTCTTTTCAGCATGTCCGACATGTGTTGGACACCTGTACATGACATCCGGAGAGGTGTCCATATAGATCATAACAATTAAAAAAAAAAAAAACACAATTCAATAGTACATGTATTCATGGTACAACCACTGCAGCTAGAATTTTGAAGATACTAATAATAAATAACCATAAGGAATGAATGGCCCAAATACCAGAAGATCTTTAGCCTCATATTCTAATAAACACAAACAAGTTTGTTTAATGTAATGTCGTTCAGCCAATTTTCCATCTTTGTGTGTACGAGGCTAAGTGTATTCCAATATTGGTCACAATTCAAGGATGATGTGGTTTGGCTCGACACTTTAACTGCAATTTGTTGAAGTTCAGGTGCATACACACAATAATGGATTACATGGAATGGCAATGCCAATTTAAAATTCAATAACAAATTAGCAAGTTTATAAGTTGGATGAAGGATTAAGCTTGAATCTTGAACTTCCAATCCCTGAATGAGTCTTTCAAAAAGTGGAGAGCAATTAAGCAACAACGGAGAGAAAGGAAGAAAAATTACACTTTGACCGAGTCTGGATGTGCTAGTCTGGGTGTGCAGTATTGGCTATACCTTGTTGTATTGACCAATACTCCTGTTATTTAGTTATTATTAATTGTTGAAGACAGATTGTTATTTGTGTTGTTCCTTTTTTCTTTGTCTTTTTTCCTTTGCTATACTTGGATGGTGCCCCCTTGGCACCCTTTTAATTTATAGTTTTATTTACTTATCAAAAAAAAAAAAAATAGTAGAAAGATTAATATATGCATAAGTTTAGGCTGCTAGACTTATAATTCTATTAGGACTATGACTCACAATGAGAAAAAGAAGAAACTTTGACCTCTAATACAACTTGAGGGCGACCCTTATAACTCATGTCCAGTGATTTACATACCACAGAAAATATATTAAAGTTATGCAGCAGTAGTTTAACCTATGCAGTACATAGAAGTAAGACTCAAATCAATCCTAAACATGATTATATAAAACCCAAAAGGTACCCTATGTGAATTTCAAATTTACCCTTTTATTCTTTCCATATTTTGCACCATTGGTTGCTTTTGATAACAGTGGTTTACAAATGTAATTTGATGTCTATTTGACATAGAATACATAATGTGCTAAATAATGACTTAGAAAATATGAGGAAGAAGAACTCCGAAAATATGAGGAAGAAGGAATATATTTCTGTTATATTCTAAACTTCTTATTTTACAAGACCAAATGACACTCCTTATATAGGAGATATTACAAACATCATTATAACCCATTATATGCCACTTACATATTATATATTACCACTATCTACCACTATCATATTATATACACGCCACTATCTACCACCAACACCACTATCATATTATATGCATTAACACAAATTTCCAGCACTCCCCCTCAAGCTGGTTTGAAGATATCTTCCATAGCCAGCTTGCTAGTCAGCTTATCAAATTGCTTCTTGTGTAGTCCCTTCGTTAGCACATCAGCTAATTGTTCACCTGTTGGAAGGTAGGTCATACAGATTATGCCAGCATTGATTTTCTCCTTGATGAAATATTTATCCACTTCTATATGTTTTGTGCGATCATGTAGAACTGGATTATGAGCTATAGATATAGCTGCTTTGTTGTCACAATAGACCTCATAGGTGTCGGGTGAGAAAGCTTTAATTCTTCAAGAATTCTTTTAATCCACATTACTTCACAGATTCCATGGGCAACAGCTCTGAACTCTGCTTCTGCACTACTTCTAGCTACCACATTCTGTTTTTTACTCCGCCATGTAACAGGTTCCCACCTACAAAGGAGCAGTATCCGGATGTTGATCTCCTGTCTATAACACTTCCTGTCCAGTCTGCATCTGTGTATACTTCAACTTGAAGATGTCCATGTTTCTTGAACAGTAAGCCTCTCCCTGGAGTTCCTTTCAAATATCTTAAGATCTTATAAACAGCCTCAAAGTGCTCTGCCCCTGGTGAGTGCATGAACTGACTTACCATGCTGACTGCAAAGGCAATATCAGGCCGCGTATGAGACAAGTAAATCAATTTCCCGACAAGTCGCTGATATTGTTCCCTCTCTTTGACTTCTTCAGCCTTAGCAGCTTGTAACTTCAAGTTAGGCTCGATCGGAGTCTCCACCATCTTACAACCAAGCATACCTGTTTCTCCAAGGAGATCAAGAACATATTTTCTCTGATTAACGAATATACCTTCCTTGGATCTTGCAAATTCCATTCCGAGGAAATACTTAAGGGCTCCCAGATCCTTAATGTGAAATTCTTTTGCGAGTTTCTCTTTGAGAGCTGCTAACTCTGCTTCATCATTACCAGTTAAAATGATGTCATCAACATAAACAATCAAAATTGCAATTTTACTGTTTTTTGAATGTTTATAAAATATGGTGTGATCTGCTTGACTCTGCGAGAAACCACAACTGATAACTGCCTTCCCAAAAGAGAGATGAAGGTGGGATCATGG